ACTCACATTGTAGCACGTATTCAGTTCTGTTTCCACGATGGCCTGCCGTAGTTGATCATCTACTTTAGGCGATCTACTCGGGAACTGCGAATCGAGAGAGTCGCTTGCACCTGATCGATGAAAACTCTTTTGAATTAAAGCATGGCTTTTTTCCTGCCGTTTTGAAGAATTCTTTATAGTTTCTGATCACTATATGTCAAGAATTGGCAGAAATCTATAAGTGAAATGCTAGTTACTTTTGAGATTCACTGGTTCATACAATCAAATTCGTTTGTCTCACCTCGGGAGCGTCGTGTAGTCGTCGAGTCGTTCCGAGCTCACCAGTAGTGAGAGACCATTCACAGGTGGCGATATCGAAGAATAAACTTACTGAGATGTGAACTATACCATCTTATCAACGAACCCTCATATCATTAACATGTGATAAGAGTTGCATTCCGGGATGAACTTGTGTATTCAAGTCTACTTTGGTTAGTTACCGAATTCTCAACAATTCACTACAACACCGATTCCTCATTGTCAAAATTGATAAAAATCTTTTCAATTAATATAGCGCCTGATGCTTAATGTTCTTACACTCAACACATTTCCGTCATTTGATAACTTTCACTTAGTAGAAAGGCGTTTCCCGCTTTTTAGGGAACCAAAAGTAATCAGATAGCTCAGAATTTTGACAATTTTAATGCCATACTTCGTTTTGAAAATAGCTTTTTGATGCGATGGAGCAGCAAAATTACTATGTTTCATACTGGATGCATTGGTTGGACAGAGCTTACCTCTAAAATTTTAGCGTCATCCGAGAGCTTATACCTCGACATATTGAACAACATACTAGTCTTGTAGAAGGACCTTTTTTAGTGCCCTTTAGCAGCGTAGATATATTGAGTTTCACACTCGGTGAGCAGTTTTTGCTCGAACTGAGTGCGTGAACGGCTGCGCGGATGGGATTTCGCTATATTCACGACAAACGGCACTGAGCGGTTAAGGTCTGAACATGACCCTCCGGCAAACTTTTAGTAGTTCTTTGTTTATACAATTGAAATGAATTAGGACGATGCCGAAGCTAAGCTTGGATTTTGAGATCTTCATAAAGCTGTTATATGGTTATATAAATGAACACTGAAGCCTGGTTCATGGAACGATAACAAAAAAGTCAATACATGTTATTAGGTTTCCATGATAGGAGGACAGATTTTCAAATAAATAACGAGAACTGCGCCTCTCAGGATCAGCTTTGAGATTGCTGCGCACAAAGCAGTTGTAAAAGAGGCTCGATTTTGTGCACAAAAGGTGTATGATAATATTCTTTTTGCCGACACAGCGCATTAAGACAGATTTCCCAAGTAAGTAAGTCGCCAAGTGCAGTTTCAAAGTCATCGAAATTGTTTTATTAAACGATAATAAAAGTGTAGAGATAAAGCTGTGTCCACCGAAAGGTAAAAAACGAGATAATTCTGTATCGATAAGCAGTTATAGCGGTCTACAGTGTCTTCTGCTTCTATAGCAAAATAGAAGACATTATAAATATAGACGCGCTATTTTTGATGTTACCTGAATTATAATTGCATGATATCGCACAAATAGTCTTGCTGCATGTGCAAAATTCACGTGCTAAACGATGTTGGAAGCGCTGATCAGCTGGAATGCTTAACACTGTGAATGTTATACTCAGGCATAGATTCTCTTCAATTTATAGAAGCGGCCTTATGTAATTTTTGCATTGTTAAGCGATGTATGTAAATCTCATGGAATGCCTGTTATGTTGATGCCGTATTGACGACAGTTGCTGCTAATGTTAATGATGTTGTCGTGCCTCTTCGACTCCTTAAAAGCGTTTGCACTCTTTATGCACTCTAAGTATCTATTTCGGACGGATCATATGTAATATCGACAAAGCTCCATCGCATAGAGGAACACAATTCCAATAAAGAAGAACTGCTTACCACTTTGTAACGGGTGAAGCTATGCTTGGTAATTGATAAAAATGGTGTTCAAATTATCCCATATAAAAAAAAATCAAGGGGGGACAAGTGGTCAGGACACGTGTATTAGTAATTCCTTTATATTCCACCTTCATTCCTTGGAATAAGTGAAAAGAGCACGAAATAACTTAAGAGTTTCACGAAAGGTCATTGTTTTGATAGTCTCAAAATTATGAAACAATATTGCTTACTTTGTTCAGTGCTAAAGTAATGTTATAGCGTCGAAACACTGCTAAACATACCTCAGCCAATATGAAGACGGTGAGAATGGGAGCAGTGACGTAGGTGTTCAACGACTTTGAGTGATACTGAGCTAAACTCGTTCGCTTCTATAGGAGTTTTCATGGTGTTTGTCTCCGCGTTCACAATTTAAATGTAAAATCACTGTAACTCGTTGAAATTTATCTTGATTATGACGTTAATGCTATCTCACTTAGTGCTTTGGAATCCATATAAAATCAATAAATGTTTTGTGTTGTGCAATAGAGGACGTACTACTCATTATTTAAGCGCTTAATACTTTCAAAGAATTCAATGGAAACATTCATTCATAATCGCGAAATTAACCCTATACTCATCATAAGATCAGTCGAGTGAATGCACCAGAATCATGATATTGTATATTCATCATTCATTCACTCACTGTTATCAAATACCAAAAAAATCTTATTCATCTATCACTGACTTTCTCGTTGTGAAATTAACACACTGTTCTAATCACTAAAAGCATACCGAATGAAAACTGTGAAATGTTGGATTGTATGCTCATCATTTGATCATACAATGCTTTCAAAACTGAAAATTTTTCTACAGTCATTCATTTCCTCGTTGTAATTTTACATACCACACAATTCAACAAAAGTGAACCGAAGTAAAAACCGTTTCTCTTAGAATACTAGCCAACACTATAGTTTGCCAAGCTGTAATCTCCATGATAATTTACTATAGCGTTGCCCCGTCCTTTTTACAGATAGTTGCCTGATCATTCATGAATGCGCCTGTTTGGAATTGATTCTAACTTTTTGAGATAATTCAACTGACACTGACCTGATACTGTAGGTGCAGAACACGGTAAGATTAACAAGTTTACTTTGGATAAACTGGTGAGCAGATTGATTGGATTAGAGGACTAGGCAAGGCAGAATTACAGTAACCCTAACGACCAACCGCTAACTGCTAAGTGATGACAACTGGCTTTTCTGTTTTGAAGAAAGCCGATATATGAATTCTTTCTTACCAAAGTAAAAATCGTTGTTCTCTGTTGGCAGATTATTCACATTGTACTTTATCACTTCCTCATAGAAAGTAGACCGTATTCTCCTCTATATTTTCCTATGGCCCGTCGGTGCTATCTTTCCTACTGGTTGTCATCAACTCCCATGAATGCACCAACAATTAGACATAGACTGATTGAAGTTGTGTGCATCAGCATTGACAAGAACGTCAGCAGTGGAGAGCAAAAAAGTTGATGCACACATTGCTGCTGTCATGGTGTCAGTTGCGTCATTAGGTGGAAACCCTTATATTCTTAGAATGTCGCCATTCGTTGATCGAATACCTGCTAAAAAGTCGCTACGAGGTTATCAATCAATGGCATTATATCCAAAACTGCGGATTTATCTGTTGTCGAGGGAAATTAGTGACGACCTGCGATTTGCTAAAAGCATTTCTACCAACACATCGTTGACCGAGAAAAGAATGCAGATGAGCACCTAACATTACTTAGTGAGGGAGATCGAACAGAGTCAAACAGATTTATCAGAATGATCCATCTGCAGTGAGCTTTCTGCTTGCCTAATGTTGTGAATTCCTGCTGTAAACAATATCCTATCCGATACTCAATATCGATAAGAAGATTCTTGACTAGCAGGTTTTATTAGCTTTGAAAAGGTCCGCTAGCATAGTAAAGTGTTGGATCACCTTGGATAATGCGCGCACTGCCCTTAGACATCATCAAGCGACTAACGAAAGGCAGTAGATTGTTAGCAGTTGCCTTTCATCTGTTAATCCGTTCGTGACGATATGTGCTTGTGCAGGTAGACTAGTGTTCAAAGGCGTTTATCTCCACTCGTTATTTTTTCGTTATCTTCTAGTAGCCACTTGAAAGTTTTCTCTGCGATCTCACTAATATGTTTGATTTCTGAAAACTCCATCCTACTGCTTTACAGCGGGGAAAATTGAATCATAATTCATCACACTCGGCTTGTTTTGCTTAATGGTCGTACGGTATCTTATTTCTTGACGATTCTAAAGCAAAATTTAGCACAAAAATTTGTAATTGGCAGAATTTTTATGTAAAGACGCTCTTCATATGTCCATAGAAAAAACGCAGCTTTGCAGAAAGAAACTCATTTCCATCGTTATAGAATCATTTTCCTTATATTATCTATGCTTTTGTAGTTTTCGATAACTTTGAAAATGAAAGCTCAAAAGAACAAAGCTTCTTCTTCGATAGCATAAATTATCCAAAATCTGAGAAAATGTTATTACTAATCATGGAATCGATGAAAGTGAAACAGAGTGGTTGTTTGCGCTCTCGTGAAACTTCAATGAGTCTTGTAATCGTGTGGATGTGGTCTGTGGTACCAAATCCGTTTCGAAATTCTGCTTGCTTTATGGCTGTCCTTCGCCCAGTGTTATGTCAATCGAATTTTTCGATAGAATCGTTTTTTTTTGGTATTCGATAGAAATAAGTGAATTATTATGAAAATGCAATACGCTTATAATTTAGTGCATTCAGCGAAGCGAGTGCTTTCATGAATAAGGTGATACTAATTTTACAATATTAAAATGAACATATTCATTGTTGTTTTTGAAAGTGTTATGCTTCTGCGTGATGATTAATGCAAATTCTCAGTCATAATTTTTTCTTTTTTGACTGCCACTTGTAATGGTATGATCTTTATAGTATACCCAATATGTGGAGTACTGTGCAGAAACGTTTGCGTCAGCCGGGATTCGAACCCAGATCTCACTCTTTCGCGTTGATATCGTAAATAAGAGTGCTGTACAAAACGAGCGTCGTAGTGCAACGGTTAGGTACGCTCCTGGAAAGAGTGAGATCTGGGTTCGAATCCCGGCTGACGCAAACGTTTCTGCACAGTACTCCACAAATTGGGTATAATGCAAATTCTATTGTGCAACGCATAGAAATTAATTGCTTTCATGCGATTTTTCATAGTAATAAGTGAGACAGCATTAATTTCATAACGAAAATAAAATTCAACAACTTGCAGTGGTTGCATATCGAGAAAAAAAACTTGCAGTGATTGCATATCGACTTTTCTGTTTTGAAAAAGAAAGCTGATATATGAATTCTTTCTGACCAAAGTAAAAATCGCTGTTTTTTGTTGGCAGATTATTTCACATTGTACTTTATCACTTCCTCATAGAAAAAAGACCGTATTCTCCTCTACATTTCCTATGGCCCGTCGGTGCTACTTTTCCGACTGGTTGTCATCAACTCCCATGAATGCTCCAACAATTAGACATAGACTGATTGTGGATGCGTGCATCAGCATTCAACGGGGACAACAGTGGAGAGCAAAAAAGTTGAAAATTCTGAAGCTCAGGTCAATTTTGGAAAGACTGTTGGGCAATAAAAGCTGACACTTCAAAAATATCAGCGCCTCACCTTGAGGCAGAATTGACGCCACAACAGCAGCAACTAATTACTTCATCTGTTTTACTCTTTTTGGCGTTCACGTCGCAGGACAAAGCTGTAGAAAATACGTAGTAAGGTTATTAGAAAGTAAACAGCTAGAGTATAAGCTGATACAGTGAAAAAAATTAACGGTTTCCTCTTCGATTTGTTTTAAATGAACACAGATATGTGCAAATTTACGACACGAAAGTGAGTGACTGGTGAACAATTTTTTCTTACTTTTCGAGAGCATTAAGGAATCGAATAATGATTGTAGAGTACTCCCAATCCACTACAGTCACCCGGCTTGCTTTTATCGAACAGAATAGTGCGATGGTTTCACAATGAAAATTTGCATAATATTTTTCAATTTTTGCTAGTACACAATGTTGCATTGATGAAGATATCCTCATTTGCGTAGCGCAAGATAATTCATCGTCTTCATATGATTTTCTTACGTAAAAAGTTGGGAGAGTGCTAAGTTTGCTGTGAAGAAAAAAATGGTGAAATCTGTCTTAATTAAGTAGCGAAAGCAAGTGCTTTTTCCGTATTGCTTTTGATTTCTAAGATACCAGCAAACGTGATCATTTTTGTGACAAAAATTGATTGGTGGTACAGTGTCCTGTTCAACGTAGTTATTTTGGTGGAGCGGTGCAATGAACAGCAAGAATTTTTCCACCGTTAAGAGCACTCAGCTGAAGAGCTCTGTAAAGATATCATTCTGAAAATATTCCCCAAATGTGTTTACCGCTGTATACATTCAGTATCACTGTTCATCAATTGATCCCCCGAAGTATAAAGTAATATTCAATCATTACGTAGAATCGTCGTCCGTGGCTTGTTGCTGCTTAGAGGTCTCACATGACGTACTCATCGAACAAATCATTTGCTCTGTTGAAAACGTGATGTACGACTGATTAATAATCTTAAATGGCTACGTTGTGCCAAATCGTGATCCATTCATTGACACGACACAGACGAAGCGCATCGATTTCTATAGCCGTCCCTTAAGGGTCAATAGATCGTCGATTCTAAGAATCCTCTTGATCAAAATTGAGTACTAGATAGGATCTAGAATTGCTTCTGAAACACGGAGGACTAGTCAGTCAAAAAGCTCACTACAGGTTAAGTATCCTTTCAAATCAATTTGACGCTGCTCAAACTTCCTTACAAAGAGATGATAGGTGATCAGCCTCATTCGCCTCTTTTCGCATGCATATGAGATGGCAAAATGTTTTCAGCAAATGACAGACCTCTTCCACTTTACATTGAACATGAGATGTCAGAGTAATTTAGCAGTCTACCTCCAGATGATATAAATGTCACAGATTATTCACCTCGGATCAACTTTTAAGCAGATGTTCAGGAAATAAATGGAGGCGTTTCAACAATATAAACGTCTCACCTAGTGACGGAGCTAACACTATGACTGCGGCGAATATTTACATTAGCATTTCTTACTTTTCACTTTTTACGTAATCGTTGGCGCTGTTGCAAATTCCATAATTACTTCATGTCTTATCAGTGGTGCTGGTTGTAATTTTGTAATTTCGTATACTGTAGTTCTTGTAAGTTGTCGGCGCCGGCGAACGATTGTGCAGCTGCCCACGCCCTTTGGTTTTACGCTTCCATCGCCAGATGAGCTTGTGGCTTTTATGCTTCGAACGCTTTTTCATGTGATGTGATCAAGACACTCCTTGCGTGCTTAAAGCTAGCTCTTTGTGTGCGCATGACTTTTATGCAACAGTAGGCTTATTGTAGTACTTCATCTGGTAAACTCTTTGTCAGTGGTTCATATATAAGCTTTCTTCAAAACAGAAAAGCCAGTTGTCATCACTTAGCAGTTAGCGGTTGGTCGTTCGGGTTACTGTAATCCTGCCGTACCTAGTCCTCTAATCCAAATAATCTGCTCACAGTATATCCAGAGTGAACTTGTTAATCTTACTGTGTTTTGCACCTACAATATCAGGTCAGTGTCAGTTGAATTATCTCAAGAGAGTTCAGAATCAATTCCAAACAAGCGCATTCATGAAAGATCAGGCAACTATCTGTAAATGGACGGGGCAACGCCATAATAAAGTATCATGGAGATTACGGCTCGGCAAAATAAAGTGTTGACTAGCATTCTAGTACAGCGAGTAAATTAGTGATTGTAGAAAAATTAGTTTTGAAAGCATTGTATGATCAAGTGATGAGCATACAATTCGATATTTTACAGTATTCATTCGCTTCGTTCATGGGTTCGCTTGTACTGATTAGAACAGTCTGTTAGTTTCACAACGAGAAAGTCAGTGATAGATGTACAAGCTTTTTTTTGGTATTTAATAGCAGTGAGTGAATGAATGATGAATATATAACATCATGATATCAATGCAATCACTCGAGTGATCTTATGAAGAGTATAGGGTTAATTTTACGATTATAAATGAATGTTTCCATTGTTTTCTTTGAGAGCATTGAGCACTCAAATAGTAAGTAGTACGTCCTCTATTGCACAGCACAAAACATTTATGCTTTCATATGGATTCCAAAGCACTAAGTGAGATAGCATTGACGTCATAATCAAGATAAATTTCAATAAGTTACAGTGGTTTACAATCAAATTGTGAGCGCGGCGACAAACACCATGAAAACGCTATAAAAGCGAACGAGTTTAGTTAAGTGTCACTCGAAGTCGTTGAACACCTACGTCACTGCTCCCATTCTCACCGTTGTCATATTGGCTGAGGTATGTTTAGCAGCGTTTCGACGCTATAACATTACTTTGGCACTAGACAAAGTAAACAATATTGTTTCATAATTTTGAGACTATCAAAACAATGATCTTTTGTGAAACTATTGAGTTATTTCGTGCTCTTTTCACTTATTCCAAGGAATGAAGGTGGAATATAAAAGAATTACTAATACACGTGTCCTAACCACTTGTCACCGCTTGATTTTTTGATATGCGCTGGTTTAAAAATCATTTTGATCAATTAACAAGCGTAGCTTCACTCGTTACAAAGTGGTAAGCAGTTCCTCTTAATTGTAATGATGCTTCTCTAGGCAATAGAGCTCTATCACTATTACATATAATCCGTCAAAATACTTCGAGTTGCATAAAGCGTGCCAAGACTTTCAAAGAATCGAAGAGCCACAACAACATCATTAACATTAGCACCAACTGCCGTCAATACCGCTTCAGCAATAACAAGCATTCCATGAGATTTACATACATCGGCGAGCAATGCAAAAATTACATTAAGCCGCTTTTACAGATTGAAGAGAATCTATGTCTAACTGAGCATAATATTCGCAGTGTCAAGCATTATAACTGATCATTGCTTTCAACATCGTTTAGCACGTGAATTTTGCACACGCAACAAGACTATTTACACGATATTATGTAGCTATAGTTTAGGAAACATCAAAAATGGAGCGTCTGAATTTCTAATCTCTTCTATAACGCAATAGAAGCAGAAGGCACTGTAGACCGCTACAACTGTTTAACTGCCTCAGAATTATCTATTTTTATGGTGTTGATGTAATTTTTTGCTGTAGTTAATGAATTGCTCACATTTCTCGACAATGTATAACTTTTTTATCTCCAAATCGGGTCCCGAAAAAAGTGTAACGATCTCTTTTATTTCTTTGAAATTTTTAGCTATTGAAAATTCGTTGCAGGAAGAGTATATTACATGTATTCATTAGACATTTTAAGCACGCAAGATCAATTTCTTGCAGACTATTTGAGGTTCATTGAAGTTTCAAGGGAGTACTAACAATCACTCTGTCTCACTTTCATCGATCTGAAGAAAGCCTTTGATTCAGTGGAAACAGAAGCGGTTATAGAGGCTCTGGATAGGCAGGGCCTCCCTGCTCGGTACATAATGATCCTTCGTGAGCTTACAAAGTTCTCACAACCAAAATATCTTCATTCTACAACAACATCACCACTGAAGTAAAAAGAGTGGTTCGACAAGGCGATAAAATTTCGCCAGAGCTATTCACTATCACCCTACAAAACGTCATGAGAACATTAGAATAGGACTATAGGGGGTAAGACTTGACGGTCGGCAATTGAAGAATCTTCTCTTTGCTGACGATGTCGTCCTCATAACAACAAGCATCAGTCAAGCGGGACGATTGTTGACCGATTTCGAAAAAGCCCGTGAAAAGAATTGGTCTCTAGCTAAATCTAACGAGTCGAGCAGGAGGAAACGAGCAGCTTGGGGAACGTTTAAGAGCATCGAAGATGTAGTGAAGTGGACTAAGAACATCCGACTCCGTGCCCTCCTTTTCGACTCGACGATTATCCCTCCCTAACGTATGCAGCAGAAATCTGGTCGCTACGTAAGCAGGATGAAAGATTACCTGGGGTTATTGAACGCGCAGTCGAAAGGTCGATGCTAGGAGTATCCTGTATCTCACAAATGAGAGAAAGGATCCGAAGGTAAGACCTACGT